CATGAGTGGGGTGTTCACAATGGCTCTACATCCAGCAGACTTCAACCTGCCTGATGTGTCTCTTGATTCCTTGGCATGCTATTCTGAGTGACGTTTACATCTTCACAGATGGTTTTAAGTCCGAGCTTGGCGTTGGCTCAAGTGTATGTGTATAACCTATACCCATTTACATGAGAACCCTCGGCATATTTTTAGGCAATCAGGCTACCAGTATATATCAAGTCGAATTAGCTGCGATCCATCAGGCAGTTCGATGAAGTTTGACACTTCCTGACGGAATCAAATTTATTTCAATTTTTAGTAACTCTAAAGCTGCTTTGACCTCTCTTATGAATATTGACTTTCGAAGTAGTCGGATCAGAAATATTCAAGAAACCGTAAGCTTAAGTTTGAAATGCTTTATGTCACAGGGCATGTAGGTGTGATGAGTAATGAGATGGCAGATGTGCTGCAAAAGATGCTTCTAAAGATGAAAACTTACCTCTGACTTTACAGCCTTATTCTTGAAACGTCCTGATGAGGATAATTTGTGACCATCTTATCTCTGCATGTCATGGACCAGTCATGACATGCAGAGATTTAGTCGAAGAAGTCCATGAACCAGTCATGAACTTCTTCCACTAAAGGAAATGTCACCAAGATGTTCTACCCATCAGTTTATAATTTTCTCAAGAATCCAATTAAGAATTTTTCCTATTCCTTTTCTCAGTTACTAACTGGACATGGTAATTTTAATTGCTATCTAGCGGCACGTAATTTGGCCAGTAGTATCTTCTGCTCATGCGCAATGGATAAATCTGAAACTGTAAAACACATAATTTACGAGTTGAAGTTGAATGCTTCAGGCTTATGGTGGAAGTTCTGTTCTTGAGATATGATTGGTCCTGTCCAGCCCATATTCTTGTGTCCAATAAACTGTGTGCTTATTTTTATATTTTTATTAAGGATATTTTTAAGAAAAAACGGTTAACTGCTTCTTCGAATTCCGGTGTTAGCTAACCATGTTTGATATTGTATGTGCATTGTTCATTTTCTTACCTAACTCTTATCATTTTATGTATGTAATTATTGATTTAGTGTAATACTCATTTCAGAGTAGTGCACTCAAATAAATAAATAAATAAAATATAAATATATATTTTATGAAGCACCACTCTGAAGTGAGTATTGCACTAAATATATTTACACAAAATAAATACAAGTTTTATACAATATATATATTGTATAAAACTTGTATTTATTTTGTAACCGTTCAGGTTTTCGTTAGCCTAATCTCTACTGTATTCTTTATACCAGTGATGAACATTTTTTTCTGGATACATAGCCATTCATCGATGTGAAATCAACTATATTTTTATATATTTCTAACGGTGTTTAAAATTTTAGTTATAGCAAAACCTCGATTTAACGTACAAAATTTTCGGTCCGTACGTTATATGTGAAAATAATACTCTGTTATTTTAAAAAATACTTTTTATATGTAATTAAACTAATAGGTTATTTTTCCAAATCCAAATTAACTTCACGCCTCAACTAGGAGTGTCTCGATATAGGTCATCACCCAAAGACGAATAAATAGGGAATATTTTGTTTTTTTTTTTAATCAAATTTAAATTTTCTTTCCTTTTTAAAGACATTATTTATTTGTTTAGTTAAACACAATTAAAGTGTATTTTCAAAAAATGTTTATTTATTTAGATTTAGATCGTATACTTGTTTACTATACTGTAGTCTCGGAACTACGGTGGATACATAAGCAATAATACACAGAAAATTATTTTCTGCAAAATTAAACTTCACGTACATACTTAATTTTAATTACACAAACATAAATTACCGGTTAATTTTTTTGTTTTTATTTGTCAATTTATTAACACACATGCGGAAAACGTACTTTATTATATAGAGAACTTTCGGCTTTATCTTCCCTCAAATTAGTCTGTTTATATAGTTTATTTATAACATTTTTAATTTTATTTTTACTTCGAACATAAGTTATCATTTCTATAATAAAATTATTTAAAGTTTTTTAGTTTTTATGAGATGCAGCATTTTGTTTTCTGGATGCATGCGGTCCACTGGAAGTGATCTTCGAAGGCTTCTGGCAGGCCGCATACTCAGTAACCATATACTCCATAACCGCTTGTACAGTACATCAGGTTCTAAAACGATATACGCTAATGATATGAAAATTACATAGTTTATTCTCGTCTTTTTACTAGTTAAGCTTAGCTTGAATGTTCTTCATCGCGAATATCAACTTAATTAGGATTTCATAATGCCACAAAGAAAAAGAAAAAACAAAAAATGAAGGAAAATTACATTGCAGATCTCTGAGGCCTTATTAGGATCTCGCGGGTCGCGGGTTGCTCATAACTATTTTATACCTACATTATATAAATGAATAAACTAAGTTATGAAAATATAATGTTTTTTAAAACTGCGCACCGGCTTGGTTTGTGCTTACATTATTTATGTTGTTAAACACAATAACGTACTACAATACTTTCAGCCGCTGTATTACTAAATCGAACCTCATATAGTTCATTTCAATTGTAAATAGTGAATGTAAGATAATTTCTGTTCAAAATTATTTCGTCATTGCACTTTATCTGAACCATGTGTCACGTTTTGCAATGTAAGTTCTGGGAATGAAGGGGTCGTCAAGTTAAATGATCTGTTAAAATTTTACTAATAGCCTATCAGCATATCTAGCAATAAAACTGAATTTGATTATATGAAGGAATCACATTTTTGAAGTGTAACAATCTAAGTGAAATTATTTCATAATATATCTACTAATATTATATCTTTTATATTCCTGTAAAATTTACTTTTTATCTGGATGTTTGTAAATTTAACTTTTATCCTGATTAAATGAAAGTAAGTCTATTTAACCCTTAGATACTAAAATTTTATAATGTTTTTACAATTATAGTAACAACTAGCTGTTACCCGCGACTTCGCCCACGGGGGTTTTGCAAGCAAACCCCATTTATATTCAGTATTTCAACAACCATAGTAATTGTTATATAATGCCTACCGCTGAGAATCAAGCCTACTATTTTCAATTTGATAAATTTTCTGGAATGTTTACAATCGTTCTATAATCGAACCAATGTGCAATAACAAATTCGAATTTAAAACGGTTTGAACATTTGGTTAAAAAATCGAAATACAATATATAAAAACATTTATAACAATGTCTGAAATGTTATCAATTTAAGGCAAAGTATGGGAATCAATTTCAAAAGCCGTTTTTCCGGTTAAGCCTTAATGCTCTCCCTCTCCTCCCGCGGGGGAATTTCGAAAAATCCCTTCTTAGTGTGAGTTTTCATGACTTACCCTGTGTACCAAATTTCACCTTTTTAGATTCAGCGGTTTGCTCTGGGCGATGATGAAGCAATCAGTGACTCAGTCAGTCAGTCAGGACAAGTAATTTTATATATTTAGATAGATGCTGCGTTAAATGCATTATATACTAAATAAACTAAATATAAAAACACCTTACCACTGGGGTATTTAAATTTTCTTTACAAACGTTTTTCGGCTCTATTTATGAGTCCTCGTCAAGTAAATTGTGTTCGAATTCGAATGACATAAACTTAAACAGAATTACACACTGTTTAATTTTATGTCATTCAAATAAATTTATACAAATATTTTATAAAACAATTATTTAAATATATTTATTATTTTATTCCAATATTTGAAGTAATATAACAATAGTATTTTTAAAAGGATTTGACAATTCACTTTGTGAGTTACAATATCATTTTAAAATATTAAATATTGTTTTATTCTTTCATGTAACATCTTTTCCTCCTTTTACTTTTTTTTTTTTTTTTGAATATTTATAAACAATGAAAGGCGGAAAACTTGTTTCCTTTAAAAAATCAAGTGTGGTGGTAAATTAACACAACCGGATGCTCCAAGTAGTAATTAATTTTGGACCTTTTGACTATTTTATTTAATACAGTAGACCCCCCGTAACACTGTTGATAATTCCGTATTATATGAATTCTATGTTGTACGGGTCACTTAGATTTTACAAATACGTGTGCCGGGCTGTGAACGGCTCACGTAGCCTATTTGTAAAATATAGCCTAAGTGACTCGTACAACATAGAATTCATATAATACGGAATTATCAACAGTGTTATAGGAGTCTACTGTATTTATAAATGGATTTAATATATAAATTAATTATAATTGATTCTTTTGGGGTCCCTGAAATTCAGGATCCCAAACAAGCGCTTACATTCCTAGTTGTTTCGTAATAATTTCCTAAACTCGTTATTGATTAAATTACTATTTTAAATTATTAATTTTTATATTTATATTCGTTTTTCAAAAATAATTAATTAGTCAAATCTACTTAATTCATTACGCAGAATTGCTTTGATTAATCAAACATTATACAGAACATGCCCGTTATAGCCTACTAAATATTGTATGAGAATATACAAATTATAAAAATTATAAGAATAACATGAAAAATTTAATTATTTAAATCGGATATCTACATTTTAAATGGAAATATGGCGTTAATAATGTAAAAATTCATTGATATATTCAATAAATTATATATATTCGTATTCCTCCTGTAAATAAATTTATAAACACGTTATACAATACTGAATTTTTAAAAAAATATACTGATATTTTATATACTACAAATTTAATTTTGTAAAAAAATCTGTGATTTTATATTTCCTTGAAATTAAAAAAATATATATTTTTTTATTTTATTTCACAATAGTAAATTAATTTCGTTTTATTATTTTTAAAGTGATTTTAAAACAGTATTAAAAAATTGAAATCATATTCAAAAATAATTTAAAGACATATTAAAAATTCTTAATCTGTTTAAATAAGTTTTAAATAAAATTCTAATTGATAAACGACGAAATGATTGAAAATAATGCAAAATAATTTACGCTAAAAGAACAATAATAAAATAAATTGTAATGAACTATAAAGTATATAAATTATCTTTAGTGTCAGGTTTAACCGCAAGGAAGTTTAGCCTTGTGTATATAATCACACGACAATACGCCATTCACGTGAAAGGAGTTATGCCGTTTTGATGTGAAACGATAAGAATTATCGCTATTATTCAGGTAAATACAAATGATTTATATTTACTAAATTTTATATTCTATTAAAATTCTATTAAATTAAATTTCGTTTGTAGATTTTAGGAATTTATTAAAATTAATCACGTGGCTTAATTTATTAATTCTAGCTCATTTATCACATAAAATAATATATAATACGACTTACTTATTCGCTCTTTACTCTAATTAAATATAAATTTATTTACATATTAAAATTTTTAATATGTACTTTAATATTAAATTAATTTAATAAGATATATAATTTTTAAAGTTGTTTTTAATGGCTTAAAATATTTATTTTGATTCTTTTATTATTAATATTGATAGAATAATACTTTCTTCGCCACTAAACCATATTTGAGAGTGAGTTTTACAAAAAAGTAAAAGCATAAATTATTTCAAAAGGTCATTTATTTAGAAAAAAATTCAACGATGAAAATATTTTTAAAAATAAAAAATCGAAAATCCTATCGGTTTTTGATATTTTATAGTATATTTTTATGTTATTATCTATAAAAGAGAGAAAGAGATATTTGCATTATTGAACGACATTTCGAAGAAAATATTCTTCCATAATGCATTTATTTCTGAGCGATAAGATGATTTTATGTAGATAATTATTGTATGAGAAACAGGAAAAAAATATATAAAAAATCTGTAAAAACATAAATGTAAAATTTTTAATGGAAATTATGACTGACTTATTTATTTTTATTTTTTACAGAATTAAGCATTATTTATAAATCAAATACCGGTTATAAATATATTAGTTACGTTATCATTAAAATTATATTATTTATTTCATCGTTCTCTGAATTTCACTCTAGTAAAGAAATTTGTGAGGAAAGCAAATTACACAAAGTTATTTTATTATTTTAAATAAAAAAATTAAAGGTATAATTAATAAAGTACAATAAATATGCATTGTTATGCTCAAATAATTGATAAGCATCAGTGTTTTGGAGTTAATTAATTAAAGATAAAAAGATACAACTAATTGACATTATTATAAAATTTTCCTTAAGAAATTATTTAATATGAATTTCTACAAATATACCTCGTATGTATAGTAGAGTCTCTCTAATCAGACATAATCCATATTAGGACCGGCAGATATCGGATTATAGCAGATTATCGGATTACTGGATTTTGTACGTATATACTGTACAGTACGTTAGTCTCTCTGTGTCATATACATCGAGAAGGGACAAGACGAAAATTTCATGTGCGCTCCCTGAGGAGTGTCAGACTGGCGAGTGATAACTACAGAGAATCTAATGTGTTTACATATTATATATACTGTTTTTAAATTTGTATATTACAGGAAACGTAAAACACTTATATAAATTTTTTAAAAGAAATGTATATTATTTAAGATTTTATATATTTAGATAAAAACAATTTACGTTTTTCTACTCTCGTCACTTTTATATTTTTATAATAGAGATAAAAATGTGGATCGTTTTTACCTAAAAATGAGAACTTTAAGATAATTTGTTTGTTAAAATTCGATATAATGATACAGTAATAAGATATAGTAAAACGAGTATAAATTTATTAAGTTACAGAAGATTGAAACCTTAAATTTCAATATAAAATGTAATTTATTGATACAAATATATGTTTAAAATATTTTCGATAAATTTCAATTTTAAATTTTTTGTAGAAAAAAATCGATTAATTTAAAGTGTATGACTTAAATATTTACTTGTTAAAATTTAAATATTTCAAGACATTGATCTATTTAACAATTCATTGTTTAAATACTGTAGTTAGAAAATAAACATTAGTATATAAAAGATAAATACGATTAAATTCTTCATT